CTTCATGCCACATTATTTCAGCTATCGTTATAATTATTATTACATCATATAATCTCATCTTCATGTGACATTTATACAACAACAGTTGTTAAAACTCCTGACAGTATTTAAAGAAGGACTAGCTATGGTAAAGGAATTCATAAGTGAAATGAGTATCACTTCTGGAATATTTATGCTGAAACTTGATATACACTGTAATAAAAGAAATATAGTAAGACTTGTATTTAATAGATAACTGAATTAAAAGTAAATATTTTATTGGACCAAGAAGTCAGTTTTCCAGAAAGCAAATCATATTGTGTTCTAATTTTTTAAATTATTTGCCATAGTTGCTGTAATGTTCAACTTCCCAGACCCTGCAACAGTGAAGAAAGTAGTTAACTATCTACCTCGTGTTGGCATTGGAACGAGTTTTGGGTTGCCTCAAACCAGGTACTGTTTTATACGAAAAAAATATGGAAAGTAATCTGTGTTAATATTCTTATTAATCTATATTAATATTGTGACATTAATCTGTATTAATGTTCTTGTTTATTTTGAAATGTATGACCTTCTGTTTTATGTTTCATAGTAAATCATGATTATTAGTGTATTAAGTTTTATTTTGAGAAAACAATTGTAATATACTGTTTTCCCTAGCATATTGTACAGTGTCCAGTAGAATATGTACTCAGCAAATAATCATTAAAGATTTCCTGACCTTTCCCCATACCAAGATAAAGGTATTTTGTGAGATATGCTTTTTATATCTTTGATGGAAAAGTTAAATGTTAACATTGTAGGAAAGATACATAGTTACTATCTTTTAAAAAGGATACATATATCATATATGTGTGTGTGTGTGTGTATATATATACCTGTACTCAAGTTAGAAAAGGTTCATTTATGCTTTCAATTTTGCCATTAAAAAATATGTGTATTACAGTGTGATGTCACTATATTCTCATCACAATGGCCAAAATGAAAAAGAGAGACAATACCAAATGTTAGATCAGATGTGGACCAGCTAGAATTCTCATAGACTGCTGCTGAGGGATATAAATTGGTCCAGCTACCATGGAAAATTCTTTGGAAATACTGAGTAAAGCTGAATATATGCATGCCCTATGATCCAACTATTAAATATTTTAAAATTCTTAGAAATAGGTTCAACAGAAATACATACATGCCTTAACCAAAAAGTATGTATAAAATGTACACATGAGTATTATTCATTATAGGCACAAAATGCAAACAACCCAAAAGTCAGTCAACAAAAAAAAGTGGGTAAATAAATTTTGGTGTAATCATATAATGGAATATACAGCAATGAAAATGATTGAACTGTTGCTGCATGCAGCAACATGGATGAATTAAATGAAGGAAGCCAGAACAAATGACTCTGGTTGCATTACATTCAAAAACAGGTAAAATTAGCCTCTGATGTTAGTTGTCAGGATACCAAGTTATTTTTAGTGGGTAGTTTTTGAGTGGGCATATAAGAGGGCTTCTGGAATGCTGCTAATGATCTATTTCTTGTCTGGGGTGATTAGCCAGCTGTATTTATTTTATAGAAGTTCATTAAGCTGAATCACTTACAATTTATGTACTTTTATGTTACAACACATTAAATTATTTAAAAAATCATCCTTAACTCTACTATATAGAAATAACCGCTGTTATTTGTTACACTGGAAACATTTTTATTCCTAAACCTTTTAATTGACATAGTTGGAATCATTTGTAACCAGAATTTGGGGTTGAGTATTTTTCACTTAATAGACTCTGAATATTTTAATAGGTCATTAAAATTTTTAAAAACAAACTAAGCCCATAGTTAGCAGAAGGAAGGAAATAATAAAAAGCAAAGCAGAAATAAATGAAATAGAGACTAGAAAAACAATAGAAAATATCAGTGAAACTAAGAGTTGGTTTTTTGAAAAGATAGACAAAATCAACAAACGTTTAGAGAATAATGTATTCTCTCCTTTATTTGAGAGAATACTCAAATAAATAAAACCAGAAACAAAAGAGGAGGCATTATAGCTGATACCACAGAAATACAAAGATCATAAGAGACTTTTCTGAATAATTATTTGCCTACAAATTGGATAATCTAGAAGAAATGGATAATTGTCTAGACACATACAACCCACCAAGAGTAAATCATGAAGAAACAGAAAATCTGAATAGACTAATAATGACTAAGAAGAATGAATCAGTAATTAAGTCTCCCATTAATAAAAGCCCAGGACCTGATGGCTTCACTGCTGAATTCTACCAAACATTTAAAGAACTAATACCAATCCCTCTCAAACCCTTTCAAAACACTGAAGAAGAGGAAATAGTTCCAAACTTATTATATGAGGCCAGAATTTCCTAATAAGAAAGCCAGACCAGGATATGACATGAAAAAAAAAAATTACAAGCCAATATCCCTGATGCACATAGATGCTAAAATCCTCAATAATATACTAGCAAACTGAATTCTTTCAGCACATTGAAAGAATCATTCATTACGATCAAGTGGGATTAATCCCAGGAATGCAAGAATGATGGTTTAATGTATGCACATCTATAAATGTGATATATTCCATTCACAGAATGAAGGACAAGAACCATGTGATGATCTTAATAGATATAGAAAAACCATATGAAAAAATTAAACATGATTTCATGATAAAAAACACTCTCAAGAAATTATGTATAGAAGGAATGTACCTCACCATAATAAAGGCCATATATGATAAGCGCATAGCTAACATCATACTCAATAGTGAAAAATTGAAAGCTTTTTCTCTAAGTGCAGGAATAAGACAAGGATGCTCATTCTCACTACTTCTATTCAACATAGTAGTGGAAGTCCTAGTCAGAGCAATTAGGCAAGAGAAAAAAATGAAAGTCATCCAGATTGGAAAAGAAGAAGTTAAATTGTCCCTTTTTGCAGATGACATGATCTTATATGTAGAAAATCCTAAGGATTCTACCAAAAATCTGTTAGAAGTAATAAACGAATTCAGTAAAGTTGCAGGATATAAAATCAATAGACTAAAATCAGTAACATTTTTATACAATAACAATAAATCATCTGAAAAACAAATCAAGAAGTCAATCCCATTTGCAATAGCTACAAAATAAATAAATAAATAAAATATTTGGGAATAAATTTAACCAAGGGGATGAAGTCACTTAAATAGATTTTTATCATTTACAATGTGTTGGGCACCCAGCAATGTACAAGATAGACACCACTTTTCCCATGCATGTTTAAACAAATATGTAAAGTAAATAGCTGTGATAAGTAACAGGAAGAATATAATTAGGGTATCGTGATAGTGATTAGTGGAGTGGAGATGGGTTGCTCTGGATAAGGTAGTCAGGCATGTCTTCCCATATGACTTTTAAGTTTTGAGTTAAAGAAATAGAACCAGCTAACCTTTGAAAGAGGGAATACTATGTGCAAAGGCCGTGAAGCAAGGCAGAGCTTTCAGTGTTCTAAGAAATGTTGAATGACAATTTTCAATAGATCTTAATGATCTTAGGAAGGTGTCATTCACGAGACAGGAACCTATTAAGAAATCCAGGCAGTATGTTATAGTGTAGTTGAAGAGAGGCATTCTTGTTTAGAGATTTTTAGGAAATATAATTTATAAACCTTGGACATTAGTTATATTAGGGGGTGATAAGAGAGGGAAGTGTTCAATATGTCTACTCAGTACTCTAGTCTCAGCTTGAGCTGCTCAGTGGCATTTACTGAGATTTAGGAGCACTGGAGAGGCAGTGGTTGTATACACACTCTTCCATCTCCATGGTTGGAGTTGTGGGGAGGAGGTGAATGGACAGAAAATGAGTTTAGTTTTAGATCTATTCAAATTGAAATCCCTCAGGGAGGTTCAGATAGAAATGTTGAATATAAAGTTAGATATAAGGAGGTATGTCTAGAGCCAAAAGAAAGGTCTAGTAATTGGGAGTCACTGCCGTATAGATGAAATTTGAAGCTGTGAGAGGGCTTAGGTTCATCTGGGGAGAGACTGTAGAATGGCAAGAGGAACTAGGGCTGCATCCTGAAGAACTTCAACATTTAAAGCTTAGATATACAAAACAGAACATCCTCACTCTCCCCAAAACAGTAACAACAAAAACAATAAGAACAAAAACAGTCTGGGCGTGTTGGCTCATGCCTGTAATCCTGGCACTCTGGGAGGCCCAGTGGGGAGGATTGCTTGAGCCCAGGAGTTTGAGACCAGTGTGAACAAGAGCGAGACCTCATCTCTACCAAAAATAGAAACAGTTAGTTGGGTGTGGTGGCACAGGCCTGTAGTCCCAGCTACTTAGGAGGCTGAGGCAGGAGGATCACTTGAGCCCAGGAGTCTGAGGTTGCAGTGACCTATGATGATGCTACTGCACTCTACCTGGGGCAACAAAGTGAGACTCTGTCTCAAAAACAACAAAAATAACAACAACAAAAGAACAAAAACAGGAGTGGCTTAAAAGGTAGAAAATGTGATGCCAAGTGATAATGGTATTTAAAGACTGTAAGATCTGATGAGAAATTAGTAAGACGCAAGCTGAAAATGTCCATTTAATTTAGCAACAGCAGTTTTTGACTGCCAGAGGACTGTATGTTGTGAATTTGCCCACACAGTATCAATAAGCTTTACTTGGCAAGCAAGCTCCTGAATTTTGTTGGAGTTTATGAGGTACACCTTCTGGTTTAGGTGTGATAACACCACAGTGAGGGCCATTAAGACCCAGGGTTTTGACTTCTCAGCCAGCAGGACACGAGAGGGTAGAGACATGTGCTAAATCCTGACTCACCACTGATAGTAAATGACAACAGTGTTAGTCCTACTATTGCTTTTCTATTTGCAGCTCTGCTTTGTCTATAGTATTCTTTCTGATACTTCATGAACACTTACAGTGCAAGTATACACACATAACTGCCAGTTTTAAGCCATAGCAACAATATATTGAATCAGCCCAAGGGCTACACCCACAATGTCATTTTAGTTCTCCTTTTTCACTGAGTTTTGCCCAACCTTATCACTTGAATTCAGGCATTTTTTCCCCCTACAGGAGCACTAACCAAGGAGTTTAGCACATGCATATTAGGGATTACACAGTTACCAGGAAATCCTGTTATCTTGCAGTTAGAAGCTTAGAGAAGTACAGGGGAGGGGTAAGTTAGGCTGCGTGGCTTGAGTAGCAGGGATGTTTTTCGCCATTGATTCTTCATTCCAGTGTTTGTGTCACCTACTCTTCTGCATACCTCCCAGCATCTAGACAGTGCCTGGGCTTGAGAACACCTTTCTTTTTGTCCCCATACATGCTGCCATGTCTCTGTTATGTAGTCATTCATGCTTTTGGACTCTCCTGTGGCCAGCAACTTTTCCTCCCATGGGACTGAGAAGCATAGTGTTTAGATGCCTATATCCAACAGAGGTATAACATCAAAATTTATGGGATACAGGCTGGGCATAGTGGCTCACGCCTGTAATTCTAGCACTTCGGGAGGCTTAGGAGGGAGGATCACTTGAGCCCAGGAGTTTGAGACCAGGCTGGGCAATAGTAAGACCTCCATCTCTACAAAAAATAAAAAAATTAGATGTTTGTGGTGGTGTGTGCCTATAGTTCCAACTACTTGGGAGGCCGAGACAGAAGGATCGCTTGAGTCTGGAAGTTGGAGGCTGCAGTGAGCTATAATGATGCCTCTGTATTCCATCCCAGCAACAGAGTAAGACCCTGTCTCAAAAAAAAAAAAAGAGAAAAACAAACCAAAAAAAAAAAAACTACCAAAATTTATGGGATATAGGTAAAGTAGTATTAGGGGAAAATTCATAGCTTTAAACACTAACGTCTGAAAAACAGAAATGCCTCAAATCAATAACCCAAGCTTCTACCTTTAGAAAGAAGAACAAGCTAAATGCAAAGAAAGTAGAAAAAAATGAATAATGAAAATTGTAACAAAAAAAATCAGTGAAACAAAAAAACAACACAATAAAGAAGATGAATGAAATAAAAGTTGATTTTTTTGAAAAGATCAGTAAAATTGACAAACTTTCATTAGCCTACACATGAATAAAAGAGAGAGGACCCAAATTACCAAAATCAGAAATGAAAGTAGGGGCATCACTATTGAGCAGATAGAAATTAAAAGGAGTGGAGAGGAATATCACAAGCAACTTTATACAAACAAATTAAGTAACTTAGATGATATGGGCAAATTCCTAGAAAAACAGAATTATTAAGACTGGCTCAAGAAGAAATTGAAAATCTGAATTGACCCATAACAAGAAAAGAAATTAAAATATTAATTAAAAAATCTTTCCATAAAGAAAAACCCAGGCCCAGTTGGCTTTACTAGTGAATACTATCAAACATTTAAACTAGAAATGATATTAGTCCTTCACAAACTCATCTAGAAAGTAGGAGAGGAGAGAACACTTTCTAATTAATTCGGTAAGATTAGTTACCCCAATACGAATGCTAGACAAAGACATCACAAGAAAACAAACAAAAACCTACAGGCCAGTTTCTCTAAGAACACAGATACAAAAGTCCTATACAAAATTTATCCAACCAAATATAGCAAATTAAAAGAATTATAAAATGGTCATGTGGGTTTTATCACAGGAATGCAGATTGAGTTAAATCCAAAAATCAGTTTATGTTCTGCACCAGCTGAATAGAATAAAGGACAAAACCTACATAATCATCTCAGAAAGAGGATTTGACAAAAATCGAACACATGACATATATTCATGATTAAAAACTCTCAACTAAGGAAATTTCCACAAACTAATAAAAATTATCTACCAAAACCATACCATACATCATATTTAATGTTGAAAGACTGAATACTTTCTCCCTAAGTTCAGGAAAGTAAAAATTTTCTCCATTCTCAGCACTTCTATTCAGTATTACATTGGAGATTTCAACTTGTGCAACATGGAAGGAAGAGAAGAAAGGAGGGAAAGATGGAGAAATTAAAGGCAGCCAGTCTAAGAGAAATTAAAAACATACCTCAATAAATAGAGACATTTCATGTCCATGGATCAGAAGATTCAGTATGATTAAGATGGCAGTTCTCCCTAGATGTATAAATATAATCCCTGTCTAATTACCAGTAGACTTTTTTGGAGAATTTGAGAAGTTGAAATGTAATGGAACTAGAATAGCGAAAACAATTTTGAAAAACAAGAACAAAATTAGAGGACTTACCATAGTCTGTTTCAAAACTTACTAAAGCCACAGCTATCAATGCAATGCAGTAATTGTACAAGGATAGATGTATAAATCAATGTAACAGAATTGAGAATATAGAAATAAACCTTTACATTTATGCTCAGTATTTCTCAACAAAGGTGACAACACAATTCAATGAGGAAAAGATAGACTTTAAATAAATGGGGCTGAGACAATTGGATATTCACATGCAACAAAATGTTTATCGCATGCTATTTATGAAATTAACTTAAAATATGTTATAGACCTATATGTAAGAGCCAAAACTGTAAAATATCTAAAAGAAAACATAGGAGAAAAACTTTGTGATGTTGGGGTAGGCAAACAGTTCTCAGATGTGACACCAAAAGCGTAACCCATAAAAGAAAAAAATGGAGGAATTGGATTTAATTAAAATTTTAAAATTTTGTGCTTTAAAATAGACTACTAAGTAAATGAAGAGATAAGCCACAGACTGAGAAAACATTTGCATTAATATATCATATATCTGATAAAGCACTTTGCATTAGGATTCTCCAGAGAAACAGAACCAACAGGATATGTGTAAATATATGAGAAGAGATTTATTATAGGAATTGGCTCATGTGATCATTGAGACTGAGAAGTTGCTGTCTGCAAGCTGGAGACCCAGGAAATCTAGTGGTATAATTCAGTCCTACTTTGAAGGCCAGTGGAGCCCATGACTAAGTCCAAGGGGGGAAGAATTGAAGGACAGAGAACTAGGAGCTCTGCTATATCTAAGGGCAGGAGATTATGAATGTCCCAGCTGGAGGAGAAGAGGAAATTCACCCTTTTTCCTTTTTTTGTTCTACTCAGTCTTCGGTGGAATGGATGATGCCCATCCACCCTGGGGAGAACAATCTGCCATACTCAGCCTACTGATTCAAATGCCAATGTCTCTGGAAACACCCTCACAGAAATACTGGCTACGTGTGTCTTACTTAATCCAGTCAAGTTGACACATAAAATTAAACATCACAGACTTGTATCCAGAATGTATAAAGAACTCTTATAACTCAATAATAAAACACAACTCAATTAATGAACGAGGAAGAGATCAGATTAGTTATTTCACTAAAGATATCTAAATGACTCATAAGGACATGAAAAGATGATCAACAATATACATTAAAACTATGATAAGACACCATCTCACACTCACTAGAATGGTTATAATAAAAATACATACAATAGCAAGTATTGGCAAGGATGTGGAAATTCATATATACATTTCTGGTTGGAACGTACAGTGGTACAGCCACTTTGGAGAACAGTTGAGCAGTTTCTCAAAAAGCTAAAGATAAACTCAACATACAACCTAGCAGTTCGATTCCTAGGAATCTACCAGAAAGAAATGAAAACATGTGGTCATACAAAAATCTATATGTGAATGTTCATGTAGCATTATTTATAATAGGAAAAAAACTGGAAATAATTTAAATGTCCATCAACTAGATCAACAAAATATGGTCTATTCTATACACAATGAAATATTATCCAGCAGTGAAAAGGAATGATGCATTCCTGGTACATGCTACCGTGTTGATGAACCTTGAAAACATATGGTTAGTGAAAGAAACCTGACATAAAAGACTGCAAAATGTATGATTCCATTTATCTGAAATATCCAGAAAAGTTGGGTTTATAGGGACAAAGTAGATTGGTAGTTGCCTGGAGGTGGGGATAGGAATACGGATTAAGTGTAAATAGGAAGAGGCAAGTTTTTGTGGTGATAATGTTCTAAAGTGAATTGTGGTGATATATTTGTGCAATTCTAGAAATTTTCTCTTTTAAAAGAATCATTCAATTATTACAAATTAGATAAATTTTAGAGTATATAAATTATACCTCAATAAACCTTTTTAAAAAATAGTTACCTTGTTTTTTGTGGTAGGAAGCACTGTGACAGCATGCTTATCTGAGGCCCTAGGCTTTGAATGTCATAATTAGTCCTGCCACCTATTTCCCACTGCTCTTAGTGTTAGTCAGTTGTATTCACTGGTATTTATATTTCATTAAGAGACCACAAAAACTTGGTCTTTTATTAAGCTGCATAAAAAAATCTTGATAGTTTCTCTTACCTTTATTCTACCCCATAAATAGACATCTACATAGTTTAGAATCCCCTTTCTACTTTTTACAAAGTATATGCAAACACATAAGTATAATATTTAAATTTATAATGTATAAACATTGTCTTTCAGAGATGACTGTTAAAATTGTTAAAGATATGTGAATAGAATTTGATATGCATTCCCCAGTTACCATAATTCCTTCTTTTTATATCAATAAACCAGTGAATTATTAATCATACTGTTATTAATCAAACTTTATAGAATCCGGATATTATAATAGCATTGTAAGGACAGCTTACCTAAATGAATAGAACATGTATAATAGACCCATGGCTAGTCCAGATCATTTGTTTAACCATGAATTTTAGATTGAAACATCTCTAGTATTCATTAGTCTAACATGAATAGAACTTTTCAGTATTATAGATTTCATTATGAATGAATAAGCACAGATAAGTCATGATTTATTGTTGTGATATAATTAATCTTAAGTTTAAATTGATTCTACATTGAATTCTTTTTCTTACAGGCGTATTTCATTAGCTAGTCCACGTCAACTTTTTAAAGCTTCTAATATGACCCAGCGATGGCAGCACAGAGAGATTTCAAATTTTGAGTACTTGATGTTTCTCAACACGATAGCAGGTAATCTAAGTCCACACATTAACTTGTTTCAAACAATAAATTCTTAATTGTGACATGGTTAGATTATTTTGAGTAGTAGTGTAAGTAGCTTATTTTTATTGCCGTTATTACTACTAGAATACCTTATCAGAAGTAATTTGATAATAGAGTTTCCAGTTTTGCATATGAAGAATTGGCTACTTGAGAGAAATTAAAAATGGGTATAAAAACTCTTTTATAAAAAAGAGAAAAGGAGATTTTACAATTATTTCATATAGTAGGAATGTACTCCCCTTGTGGAATAGTGCAAATGAAGAACCACATAAAATCTTAAGAACCTGTTAATAGCTTAGTTAGAAATGTGTTAATGATGAAACAATAAAACACAACATAGAAAAAAGAAAACTGTGGGTAAAATATTAAGTAATGAAAATCTAAAAACCAAATGGCACTGCATAAGGTCTGTAATCATGCAATTTCATTGAAAATCGCCCATTGAAACTATTTACTTTGAGTTTAGAAATGTGTCATTACTTTTCATTTGTGACAACTAGAATAAACAAAACAGAATATATATGCAAGACACTTGAGATTCAGTTCAACAAACCGATGTTGAGCTGAAAGGCACAAAGGAGATACGAAGAGAGTAAGGCATGTTGCTTACTCTTAGAGACATTATTTTAAGTACAAATGTTAGTATTTACATGAAGCTAGAGTAAAGCAGTTTATAGAGTCAATAAAAGAAATTCAAAGTGCTGTGGTGATTAAAAGGGCAGAGAGAGAGAGGGAAATTATATTCACACAGTTGGTGGGAATAAGGAGAAAACGAAGGATTTGAATGGTCATATAAGGATGGATATTACTTTGGCTAACAGAGGAGGTGACTTAGAAGTCATTCCAAGTAAAACTGAAAGCATAAGCAAACATACAAAGATGGGAAAATATAAACTATACAAAGAAAACAATTAATGGTATAGTTTGTGCCTGAATGTATATACTATATATGTGGCATGTACATAAATTATATATTCATAAAGACATACTGATAAGAAATGAGAATGTTAGTATGGAAGATTTCCTGTCAGTTTGAGGAATTAGCAGTCAGTTCATGGGGAAGCTTTTGAATGTTTTTGAGCATGTAAGTGATATTAGTACCGTATGAAAAATTAACTTGGATATAATATGTAAGATAAATTTGAGTGATGGGAGATGCGGCAGAGAGCAATGTTAGGAAGCAATTACATAATAAAAAGTAATGAGGGCCTGCATTAAAGAGGTGACAGTGGGAATTAAAAGGAAGGATCAATTATGTAAGAATTCACAAGGCACCAACCATTTGATATGCAGCTGACTGAATGTAGGGGGTAAACAAAAAGAAAGTGTCAGAAAAGACTTCCAGGCTTCTGGCCTGAATCATTTGGAAAATGGTGGTCCCATTAATGGAAAAAGAAGTCAGAAAATTTGATCTAGGGAAAGGTGATGATTATACTGTGCTTATAAGGCATTCAAGTTAAGAAAGAGTTTTTGAAAGTGTAGGTCAAAGAGGTATTCAGAAATTAGAGATTGGATGTTGGATTTTGTCTTCACTGAGAGGAAATCACCAAGAAAGATGAGATCACCAAGACAGATAATAGAGAGAGCAGTGAGGTAAGGTCAAGGGAATGCTCTTGTTTATGAGAAGAAAGAAGGAAAGTTAGTAAAGAAGAAAAAAGAATGAATGATCCTAGAATTTATAGATATAGGGGGAGAACTGAGGTTAATCAAATGTCTCAAGAGGCAAGGGGAAAGAGAGAAGGCGTTTTTCACCCGCATCAAATGTTATAGAGTGGTAAGGGAGAATTCAAAATGAGTACAGGGCACACCTTTGGGTTTGGCATTCTGGAACTTACTGGTTACTTCACGGGGGTTCATTTTTAAAGCAGACAAAAATGGTTGATTATAAGGAGATGAAATGGGAACTGTAGATATAGATTATAATTTTCTTAAATATGTTAGTTATTAA